TTTCTAATTATACAAGCAACTATTTGGTTGAACCAAGGCAGAAGACTTCCTGTCGCCATTAATGCATGACGACTGAGCCGGTTCATTGCAACTTCTGTTGACAAATTTCCATATATGTTTTGATATGTTCTATCACTAACCTGAAACCTGAAAATGGAAAAAAAAAATTAAGATCCTTCTTCAGAATTAATTTAGCAAATTTCGTGATATGCAGGCACGGAAATCAGCTTGTTGACAAGTTTGGAGCTGACCGGACTAAAGTTCACTGAAGCGGTTACTTTCAGCAGTTATATGTCAAGCAATTAACATGTGCAAAGCAGTTTCTACAGGCGAGTTGTTTATCTGTCTGGTTGGTGCAATTTCTAGGTAGTTTATAAATCCACACCCTTGATCACCACCATCTTAGTTTAGAGACTCCAAATACTATTCTCTGTATAGTCTTTTTTTGGGGAGAGGGGTAATAAAAGGATAAAAGTAAAAGAAAAAACAAAAAATTCATATATGGAGTGGACTATAATTAGCTCTAGATGCAAATATACAAATCACTATCGTGGGAGTGGGTGGTGGTGGTCAATTTAGACTGAAACGTGTGAGTATTTATTGTTGAGGCTTTATCAAAAGAGATTGTCACTTTTTTGTTTTTACATTTTTTTTTTCAAATTTTCTTACTTTTTTTCAATTTTTTGTCACTTTTTTTGAAAATTTGTCATTTTATTGAAATTTTTTACCAAAAGTCTTAACAGATGAAATAGATACTAATTATTCAATAAGAAAACCACCATCATACTATTTTTATCACTTTTGTTTAGTGCTTGTCACTTTCTTTTTTTTTTTGAATTTCGTCACTTTTTTGATTTTTCGTCACTTTTTTTTTTTAAATTTACATCAGTTTTTTGAGTTAGTAACTTTTTTTGAATGTGTCATTTTAAAAAAAAAAAAAATTGTCACTTTTTTTTTTTTGGGGCTACCTTTTGAGTGTTTGACACCTTTTATATTCTTTCAATTTTTTTATATGTGTAACTTTTTTTAATTAATATCAATTTTTTAATTGTTCACTTTTTAAAATTTCTACCACTTTTTTTGGATTTTTGTCACTTTTTAAAATTTTTTATCACTTTTTCTTTTTTAAGTGTTTATCACTAATTTTAGTTACCTTCTTATTTCTATCATTTTTCTTAGTGACAAACATCAAATTTTAATAAAAATGACAT